TTTCCATTTTGTTTTGGTTTTAAGTTTTCTGATGATCTTAGAGTGCTCGTCTTGGGTATCCACAGCTTGCCTTTACTCAAAATACTCCAAGCAGCTTCTTTTATGGGTATATAGTGTAGTGTATAATATAGGGAGCTAACTTTCCACAGGCATGGATGAATATTATTAGCGATCCTATAATTAGTCTTAGGAACCTATATTCAGTACAGGTAGTCCTCAATTTATGACCACAATTAAGCTCAAAATTTCTGTTGTTAAGTGAAACATTTGTTAAGTGAGTTTTGCCTTATTTTACAACTTTTCTTGCTACAGTTGTTAAGTGAATCACTGCAGTTGTTAAGTTAGTAACATGGTTGTTAAGTGAAACTGGCTTCCCCGTTGACTTTGCTTGTGAGAAGGTAGCAAAAGTTGATCACATGACCTTGGGACACAGCAACAGTGATAAATATGAACCCCTTGCCAAGCATCTAAATTTTGATCACATGATCATGGGGATGCTACAACCATTGTAACTGTGAAAAATGGTCCTAAATCACATTTTTCAGTGCCGTTGTAACTTTGAACAGTCACTAAACGAACTGTTGTAAGTTGAGGACTACCTATATAAATACAACCATGTTTGGCCTGAAAAAATCTAAGATGATCACTAGATGGCAGCAAAGCTATTCAGGAACCATAACTCTTTGCTGCCATTTAGTGGTCATTAGTATTTTTACAGACCAGCTCTGGTTCCTCTTGTATAAATAACATAACAAATATAGTAGACTATGTTCACAGAAATTAAAGGGAAATTGTACTTATTGTTGAGTATGGGGAAATGGAAAATAGAATTCAAATTAGAAGGAGGAAAAACAGGCAAATCAGTACAGTATACAATATCAGTTATTAAGCCCTCAACAATCTAAGACCTTCAATGGTCTGACATTTAATTTTCTGAATATTATTTATGGATGTTATTGTGCCACCTAATATATTGTCATATGGAAGGATTAATCTATTTCACAGTAAACAGCCAGAACCTGTTAAATGATCCTATGGGCTATAATCAAAACATCTGTTTGAAAACAGTAATCCCGAATACAATCGCTGGTAAAAAAAAGATTCCCTCAAGTTTAATGCTTGGTGATTACCTTGGCACTTCCATGAGTTTTCTTAGCAATAGTGCAGAAGCAGATGGTTCTTGCTTTCTTCTGATCTGTTTTTTCAGCTGTCCATCATCCCATTCCACTGGGATTTTTGATGGTCTCCCATTCAAATATTAACCAAGTCTGACTTTTGGGTTTTTCAATCATAGCTACTTGCTGTCATATGTTGCAAAGGGGATTCCCCTAATCTTTTTTATAACCAGAATTGAAGTGGACAAAACTGATCAACATTCTCTTCCTATAATCTACTGATTCTGCAAAGAAGCTTTGATCAAAGAATGAGGCTTCAGGAACTGGGAGTTGTGCTTTCCTTGATGAATCCTTACTCCAGGCTTCCAAGGTAAGTGGACAGCCTGGAACCTGCGTTAGATTTGGCTTTCTATAAGGGCATCTCTCTGTTACAAGGACTGTCAATAACATTCTCTCTCCTGAATAAAATGGAGGATTCATAAAATATAGCTTTTCCATAAAGTTATTATATCCTACTAGCATAACACTAACCATTTAGATCGCAATTCATTCTTTGTTCACTCAACACTCTGTGCAAAATAGACTTCATTCTCTAACATGCTGAGTCTTTGAATTAATCAAGGATGGGGAGAAGGGGAGAAGCATTTTAGTAGACTATGCGAAAAAAAATTATAGAGAATTACCCATCAGAAATAAGCCATGCTAAAATTCTGTGCATCACTATGTTCTGAAAGTGTAAAACAAACAAGTGATATCATACAGCCAAGTCCAAAGACCCAGGTGAAAATCTAATTGCTTCATAATAAATATGGGACATTAGCCTCAAGGGCTTCATTTTTTTTCTCTAGAGTAATTATCTCAATAGATTTATTGACTAATGGAAATATCATGTGTGGCTTCTTCTTTCCTGGCAGAATACACATCATAAAAATTAAAGCATAATGTATAACTTTAGCAGTCCAGAATCATTCCTGCTAAACACTATAATTCTGTCAGCATGTTCCATTCAGTTTTAACAAATTACCATCAGGCTGATCAATGTTGTTGGAGATTATCAGTACAATATAGATTTGAAATTGGGTACTAAATAGAAAGCACTGCCTTTCACTATCTGAAGTTGAAAAACAGTATGGATGAGTTCCCATTCTTTTTAGCAAACATTTCAGAAATGTCAAATACCACTTTGAAGAGTTTTTGTCAGAATACATTTTATAATTCTTAATCATATAGATGATGCTTATAGTTTTTTACAACAATTTTTTGTTGAAACACAAACTGCAAACTGTATTAACAGAAGCCTTAACCTTTTTGTAGTCTTCCATAAATTTGCAATTTTAATTTATTAAAGTTCAATTTGATAAATGGGAGTTGCAAGTTGTTCCAAGAGACAGGAGCTCCCACGGAGAATGCCCACTTCCATATCTTCAGCAGGCGTTTTCTGGTCAGACAGTTGGTCAGGTAGAATCTATCTAAGAAAGGTAGCCTCACAAACATACAGGCCCAACTTTACAGATAATAATCAGCATCTTCAATTGCACTTAGAAATGTATCAGCGGCTGATGCAGTTGTCACATGTAAAGAAAATTACAGTAACTGATATACAAGATGACAAAGTATAAATGTATAAATGTCTTCAGTATTTCCTGCTCCAATAAAGGCCACAAGTGGTGTACTAGTCAGAGCCGTCTTGGCCATGGCTTCTAGCCACTGTTCTAGCAAGAGCTGTGAGTCCAAGTGGGCCCCTAAATTACAAGCCTGCTCTTCAAAATGGAGTATTACTACCCTGAGAGCAAAAATTAGTAATAACCCAGAATCAGTGGGGTTCTGAATGAACAGATACTTTATTATGCCTGGGATGGGTATGAATATATATATATCCACCTGGCTGTTGGGAAACATAAGGTCATCTATATTCCTCACTGGAACTTTGAAATATGGTCCAGATCACTGGAAGCTGCCTGATACTCAGCAGATGAAAAAAAGAGTGGAGAAACAGCTTTATCTTTCCACCCTTATCCTCAAACAGTAGGCTTAAAGTTGAGTTTATGCACATGTCCAATCGTGCTTAATCTTCATCTTCTGCCAATAACAGTCAAGATGATTTGTTACTGGTTTCATTCTCTGGAGAACCCAGGAACCATCCAGAACTGGTATATAGGGAGAGCCATTTTAGAGAATTCTCCCATCACCCTGTGTATTCTATATTTCAAACATTAACAAGGTTCTCAACAGAACTAGCACTGGGATCTCTCAAGCACAATTTGAAAAGTTTTGGATTCATGAGACACTTGAAGCTGATCTGAACTGGAGCCTCCTTTTTGCACAGGCTAACTGCAAAGCCTCTGGTCAATCCCATAATTAAATATCTACTTCTTAGGTTGGGACAACATTTCAGTGAATAGATTTCTGAGGGATGTGAAATCTTCTGGTTTCCAGTAAAAAAAAAAAACACTTTTCATAGACCTATAAATACCACCTATATAGGACAACATGTACTCTGACTAAAATGCCCGAGTAAACATCCCAATGGTAATGCTTAGATACAGTCTAATCTCATGTTACTTTGTTCAAAATTATTGTTCTATTTTAAAAGGAATGTAATCTTTCCTATTTCTTGTTATTGTTATTTTCTTTCTTTCTTGGTTGCACTTTTAAACATCTGTTAAAATAGTATCAAATTAAATTATTTTTTAAAATGTCAAATCCCAAAGTTCCCAAAATGAAACACTACCAAACTACTTTTTAAATTGCAACAACATATTTTGTTAATCAAAACTTTTGAAAACATGGCACAACTATTTATACAATATTAAAAGTACCAGATTAACAGATTAACAGAGTTGGAAGGGACCTTGTACATCATCTAGTCCAACACCAACACCCCGTCCAAGCAGGAGACCCTGCACCCATGATGGCGAACCTATGCCACACGTGCCAGAGGTGGTACACAAAGCCCTCTCTGTGGGTACACGCACCATTGCCAGCTGCTCTTCTAGTTTTCAGCCAGTTGGTCATCACGGGCACTGAAGCACTGGAAAACGGCCTGAAAATGGCCCAAAAAACAGCCCAAAACCAGGCCGTTTTCAGGCTGTTTTTTGGCCATTTCTGGGCTGTTTTTCAGGCCAAAAGCGGCCTGAAAAATGGCCTGAAAATGGCCTGAAAAACAGCCTGAAAATGAAAACTATTTTTAGTTCAGGGTGGGAATGAGGGGTCATTAGTATTTTCTAAGCTTGGTTGCTTTCTTGCAGACATTTCATTACCCAAACCTGGTAACATCAGTGCTCCGCATCAGCCTAGTTTACCTAGTTTGGGTAATTAAACATCTGCAAGAAAACAAGCAAGCTCAAAGAGTCTCAAAAACCTCTCAAAGTCAAAATTAATCTTTTTAAAAAAAATTCTATTAATGTTCCAAACTATATTAGGCTGAATTGCAGACTAAGACTAAGCAAACTAATAAGAAATTGTGGATAGCAATCAAGAGCAAGAGATTATGCCACCAAAGAAGATGAGTACAACTGTGCAATAGAGGTTCTTAAAACATTTGACTATAATTTTTTCACTAAACTACAGAATCAACCACATAAAGAAATCAGCATCATAACAGCAGTGCAAGAAACAGAAGCCCTATATCATTAAAGACTTAATTTTCACCTCAAAACATCTAATAAACAGAATTCACACATTAGCCATGACATGTTAACTATGGTCTCCCGGCAAGTTATATAACTTAGTTTAATTCATAAATTAGATACACTGAATTCACACCCATACTGAGCAAAATTGTGCTACAATATGCTCTGATGTACAAACCAATAATTCACTGCCCTTGCTACTGTTTGGTATATTACCACGATGTAAATTACATAAATATTCATGCTAGCTTACCCTTCTTGTTCCACCATGGTCCTTCTGGTATAGCATAGGAGAGGTCTTTAAATTCAATGTTCACAGCTGGTCTTCGAGGAAGGTAGGAGAAATGATGGGCTTCAGTCAAAACATTATCCATCTTCTTTAAATGGCCATTGAGCAAATGAATCTCTTGTGTGTCTGTACCACCAGAGACCACCTCATCTACTGAAACACATATTGACTTTGGCTCAGGCATAGTAGATGAAGAATTACTGGCATTCTAGAACACAAGAGGAGAAAAAAAATAAAACATAGCTTTCTTGTGTTGTCCTCTCCTCCTCCCTCTCTCTCTTCCTCCCCCCCCCCCCCCTCTCTCCCCTCCCCCCCATTGCAAATGCAATTATTGTATATGTGTCTCAGAATAAGTCTCATACTACTATAGAAAAAAAGTTAACTCTATGCTGTTCTGCTAACATTGTTATTTTACAAGAAAATATGGCTTTGGAAATAGGCAAATCAGTCAAAGTGTGGCCCATTTTCTCATTTCCCCATTTTAAATTTGTTCTGCCTTTATGCATCATTCCCCATTCTCCCCCCCCCCATTTAAATAGCACTCTGCACCACCAAATATTGTTTCATAACTGCATTTCACTTAATGTGTAAATTTGAGAATTCTAGACTATGTTATTTCATAGTAAAGCACAAATTAACAAATGTGTTTTTCATGCTGAAAGGACTATTCCAACTCCAGTGTTCATTTTTGCCAATCTTAAATGTATTACTTTGGTTTCTTTGTCTGTAAATGAATGCTTACATGTTTCTTTTTCATAAACAACCTGAGATGTTCTTATCTTCCATTTGTATAAATAAACAACAATCCAGTACATTCATAATACTTTAGGTTTTATTTACCCCCTCCTTTTTTGCCTCTGTCAGGTCCACATAGCATTCATACTTTATATTACCCACAGTTTAGTAAGGTATTGTACCAAAATTGTACACTAAGGTTAATTTTAACTCTAATTATCAGTTGGATAATCTACCGTTAGGGGCATGCTTCCATTAACCATAGTTAAAATCAACTTGCACATTGTTTGACCCAAACACCATAAGTAAAAGCTTCCCATTTTTCTTTGGGGCCATGCTAGGGGAGAAGATGGTAACATGTGAAGCAATGTTTGTTACCGTTTATTGTAATACTGTATGTTGCCTCATAACTGAATGAGTATCCACAGGCACAGTGTAATCCAGGCAACAACTAGTAACAGTGTCATTAGTATAGTCAATGTGGAAAGCTTACAACAAACACTTTATTGCTAAGGCTAGGCTAAACACCAAGAATAAATTTGAACAATGCAGTTAAAGGTTTAGAGAATCTTCCAGAGTCATCCAATTAGTGTTGTGCCAACATGATAGTAATGATGTTACTTAACTTATTTGTATATTCAGGAAATACAATGAAGATGCAAAAAATTGATAATGTGTAAAACATCTGACAAAATCAAATATAAAAGTACTCAATAATCTATGGAGCTGCACTATATCAGGCCATTCTGGGAATCATCATATTTCTACAACACCATCAATGGAAGAGTCAAAGGTGGATTCCAGAATGAAAGAACACAGCATAAATTCCTTGGCTGCATCAGTGTCTTAGAGATAACAGAAAGCCCTTTTATACTTAAGCTAAATAGGGCACCAGATTTCTGCTATTTCCTCAGTCTATAAAATATGTTTCTGTGCAATTCATATTCTTCCAAACTCTCATGAGCAACTTTTCAGAAGGCATGTTAGGGCAAGAAAATTGACAAAACATGCACTTATATCATGCGCAGAATGACACTGAACTTGCTTCTTCACCTTTCTACCAGTTGGTAGAACAGTAGGAAATGTCTAAATAGCTATTAAATAAGTAACCTCTCCAGACAACCAGGCAGAAACAGGTTGTTTATTGTTTGCCATTTTTATGGCATCTTTTATAATGTAGTGAAGTAATTAAGGAGCCAAGGGAAATGTCTTGACATGAATTTGTGTGGGACCTTTGAGATGGGACAGATCAGGAAACACATCCCATAGAACTATATTTTCCTGAGATAGCTTATAAAAACAGAATTTTGCAAACCTGATCATGCCTCCCCTCCCTTTTTAAAAAAGTTTTTTTTTATTTTTCTACAAACATATCATTGTGTGAACAGTGTGGAGCCAGAGTTACATTTTAGTACAAATAAAACTAAAAGTCTATAAGATTGTTAATTGTAAATATGAAGAGTATTGTTTTATTTGTACTAAAATGTAACTCTGGCTCCTCCCCTACCTCTTCTACCCCATTAAATCAGTGAGGAGTCAGCCTGAGTCTCTTGTTAACTTTACATAACTGTTTCTGAATATTTGCTGCAAGGTTCTCTCCCAGTTCTCTACAATTTGGGATGGTAGTGTATGAGACAGCTTATAACTTGGACTCCAGGCATACACATTGCTGTCAGATACTAATGGCTTACAGGCTTGTAGTTATTCTTGGTATGTGTAATACTTGTGCCATTGATATATACACTTTATGCCAATTTCAAATATGAGAACATCTGTATTTGTTAATGTGCATCAAGTTGGTGTCCATTTTTAGTGATCACATAGTTTTTCTTGAGAACTATCTTTCCCCCCAAGGAAGTTTGGGTCTTCTAATGGCGTACCCACTGACTCCATCCACCTTGCTGCTGGTCACTTCTGCAGACTTCTCAAGAGAGCTAGGTGTCAGGGTTCCCAGTGTCTGACACTAGGTCTTCACATAATGTGCCCAAATATGACCCTGATCATTTGTGCCCTAAATGAGTGAATTGATTCAATCCGATCTATGATCCATTTGTTTTCTTGGTTATTCATAGTATTCTCAGCATTAGCCCCAAGTTAAAGTCATATTTAAGACCATAAACACAGATTTCACATAGCAGGAACTAAGGATCAATTTATCTGCTTCAGACATACCTTCACGCTATTGGATTATTTAGACTACTTCCACTCCACCACAACTTCCACTCTTAGTCCAGTGGTTCTCAACCTGGGGGTCGCGACCCCTTTGGGGGTCGAACGGCCATTTCACAGGGGTCGCCAAAGCCCTCTCTCGCCCCCCCCCCACACCTTCACTCACCCTCACTCTCTGCTCTGTTGGATCGCCGGCTGTTTGCTTACCCCGCCCACTCCCAATCTATTGCTGCCTCCTGAGTCCCAGCTGATAGCTAGAGGAAAAAAAACTGTTTAAATTCTTGCTGCGGGGCTTCAAAGGGCCGCCCTATAGCCAGTGGTGGGATTCTGCCGGTTCTAGGGGGTTCGGCCAAACCGTTTGTTAAATTGCTGGCTTGCCCCACCCCTCCGCACACTATTTATTGCCAATAAATAGTGGTGGGCGAGGGGCGGGCGAGCCAGCAATTTAACAAATGGTTCGGTGTTTTTTTGTAATTTTTTTGCTGGAGCAGATTTTTTTTCCCCTAGCTATGCTGAAAAATGAAACTGAAAGTAAAGCAGGCTGTTGGCTTTGCTGTTGCTGCAACGTTGGAAAATTAGGCAGGCAGATTTCTTTTCTTTTTCCTCACCAAAAAAGGTAGGTGCAAACAATGGGAAATTTAGGGAAAAAGAGGAGAGTTCAAGATTTTAAAACACAAAAGGAAAAAAAGCTCTATTTAACTAGGGAATTGTAATAATTGAGATACTATTAATTGTATATTGTGTTGAAAGCAGAAATGGTTAAGTTGTGGTTTGGAGGAATATATGGGGGAAATTATTTGGTTTATTATTATTGGTAAATATAATTAATTGATTTGTAAGAAATTGGATTGTGTGGAAATAATTGGAATATTCATGTTCATATTGATTATGTAGCCACGCCTACAAAATAAGTCACGCCCACAGAACTGGTAGTAAAAAAATTTAGAACCCACCCCTGGTTGGGGGTCACCACAACATGAGGAACTATATTAAAGGGTCGCGGCATTAGGAAGGTTGAGAATCACTGCTCTAGTCCCTCAAAGGAAATGTGAAGATAAGCTGTTACTTTCTTTTCTGCTGATCTTGTAACATTGAGAACAAAGAGAAAAGAATTATCATCCTGTCTTCAGCTGCTACAGGTCTTGCAGTACAAAAATCCTCTCATTCGACTCCCAAAAAGGGGGGAAATATTAAATTGCTTGCATGCACACACATCCTCTACTTCATGTTCTATGCCTTTTTCTGAAATAAAGTATTCTGATGGTATGAGACCACAAAATTGGAAAACTGCTTTGTAACTGTATGTAGAATTCTCTTGCAGAAGCACTTCTAATTCCAATAAGGTACTTGGGTTTAGCTCAAACTACATCATTTTGATGTTTGTTTCTGTTGTCTTGTTTATTTATTTTACAGTGCAGAGGGAAAGAGAAACATGCAATTTGGACAAGAATTCAGAAACTTAATTTTAAACCTCAGATGATAAAATGAGCATTTCAGAAATAATTAATTCTAGTTTGCTTCTGGCTGTGATTCAAGATGCTGGTCGCCACATAAAAAGCCCTGCTTGACATATGGTCTGGTTATTTGAGGGACCACCTGTCTCCCATTGTATTTGATTGGCTGGTTTAATCCTACAGAGTTGCCACACTCCAGATTTTACTGATTAAATAATGCCATCTCTCTGGACCCCAGAAGCACGCCTTCTTTATAGTAGCACCTGGTTTCTGAAATGAGGTTCCCGTCAAATTTGAATAGCTTCTACCCTACTTGTATTTCAAAGAGTCCTAAAGACATGGTTCTTCATCCAGGCCTTTGGTGAGGACAACTGATGCCCCTTTCTTCTTTTTTGTTTCCTGCTTTTATTTGCCATGATTGTTCTTCTGTCTTGTGCTGTTTTTGTGAGATTTTTGTTTTGTTCTTAAATGTTTTTAACAATTATAAACCACTGGGAGTCAGGCAGCATACAAATTTAATAAATTATTTCCTTTTAAAATCTTCATCCCTAGCTACCATATGTAAGAGTTTTATTGGGTATGAGGCAGGGAATTTCTTTTAGTAATAGTAAATTCAGAGATCATAATAATGTTAAGGTGCTTATTTTGGGAAATGAGAATTCATAGAAAAACCTGACATATTCTGGTAGAGAAGTTCTCTGAGGATGGGCTCCGGCAAAGGTCAGAAGACTAAACCTCTGATTCCCTAGACGGACCCAGATTGTATCCTGCAAAAACAGTTCAGTCTTGGATAATGTAGAAAGAAACCATCATTCCAAACTGTAATGAAGAGACTTAATAGTATGCATGTCAAACTTATAATTATATATGTCTAACTTCATGCATTACATGACGTAACAGATATGCTCTCCATCTCAATTTAGGTAACCTAGCTCTGCTTTAATGCTCATTCCATTTTCCTGTGGCTCTTTAAATCCAGATTTCATCACTTAGGGGGGATTTTAAATCCTGTTACACAACAGTAACTATAAATCCATTCCTTAGCCAGCAGATGTATTTGATTACCAAAAAAAAAAAAAAAGAGAGAGAGAGAGTTTATCTTCCAATTAAGAACAATTTTAAGAAAATCGACTTTCTGGTTCCTTTTACATCAAATTCATTATATAAAGAGCAGCAAAGGTATTTGTGCTTCAGTAGAAGTGTTTTCTAATCACAGGATGCGCCCGTGAAAGTCTGAGCATGCTCAGAAAACCATCCTCTTCTCTCCCCCTCCATTTTTTTAATGAGCGCAACACTGAGGTAACTTTCGGTCAAACCCAAGCTATATGCAGCTGACTTCAAATACAGGATGATGTAAATGACGCCCTCCCTCCCCAACCCCCAATCCCAACCCGCGCCGAGGAAAATAAACATAAACCTTTCGAATTTAATCAGTCTATTTTGATACAATAAATTAGATCTTAAAAAACTTTGGAGGCTTTCGGTTTGGGCATCTGCCGCCCAGCCAATGGGCAATACATTCATATAAATTACATTAGGGGATTTGCATTGTGAAAATCCTTTCCTGACATTACCAGCCATTTCCGTGTCAAGGATACCTTCAAAAAGCAAACGAGAAAAACCAGAAAACATCCGGCCAAAAGAAAAAAGGAGAAACAATTGCTTACCACAGCAATTTGCGTGCTGGGAAACAACGCAAGAGAAAAGGCGAAGGATCCTTCTTCTGTCCCTCCAATAAGAGCAAGGACTGGCAAGGGGAGTCAGATCCAGGAAGCCACCGCTAACCCACCTCCGAGCAGGCTCTCCAGGTCCCTTCTGGAGAGGAGAGAGCGGCGTCCTTCCCCTTGGTCTACACATGAAGGAACTCCGCGCTTTGAACTCGGCCTCCTCTCTCGGGGGGCTTCTAAGCGTTGGGCTTAAAAATAGAGACCCAGCTAACAGCCCGGCTTCCCTTTCGGAAAAGACAAACAAGCCAGAGGGGCGAACAAGATCAAAGGCTGCAGACGCGGAAAGGGAGGGCGGGGGGGGGGTGGCAGGCAGCAGGAGTTCTCCGCGCCTTCAAACTCGAGCAGCGCTTTCTGCCAGGGGCCCAAATTGCACCTTTTTGCTTGCTCAGTTCCTCCCACGACTTTCCAGCTCCCGGCTTCCTCCGGGGGTATCTAAAATGCCTACGGCAAAGGTAGGCAAGGTAAGACCCTGCTACGATTTGCGGAGGGACGGTGCCAGCTGCGAGGCGCTCCGACGTTGCACCTTACCGAGGAAGGGAGTGGAAAAGAGAGAGAGACTCCAAAAGCATCTACTTACCAGAACGGCGCCCAAGGAGAAAGCAGCCATCAGACATGCCATGTGCCCCCCCAGGCGGCAATCACGGGAGCAGGAGAGGAGAGAGACAAAGGATTGGGCGGGAGGGAGGGAGGGAGAGGAACCCGCAGCAGCGCCCGCAGTCAGCCGAGATTGATCGGCTGCTGGAAGCGGCGCCGGGAAAGCAAAGGGAAAACGGGGCCGGTCGAGATCCCGGCCGCTTCTTCGCCAGGGCGGCTCTATCTCGGCATCCTACCGGCTCTTGCGCCCTATTGGCTGAGAAGCCGAAGGGGGGCGGAGCATACTCTCTGAGGGTAAACGTGCTCTTGTTTTCCTTCAAGTTTCTCCAGGGCTGAGCGTCGCTTCGCTTCGCGGCGGTTTAGATCAGCTTGGAAGGTTTTCCCCCGCCCCGCCCCGGCAAAGGGGGACCGTACACGACTGTACGCTGCCTGAAACCGATATTTCCCGCCCCAAGAGGGAGAGAGCGGGGATAGGGTTTCCAAAGTAAAAAGTGGCTGAGGAGGGCGGGAGGTCAGAACTGATTTGAGGCTCCTGATCTGCATCTTCCCTCAGCACAGCACTGAGGTAAATGTAGGTCATGCTGCAGCTTATTCGGTGGTGCCGGCGATAGCGCTCTATACATTTCCAGAAGGACAAGAAGTTTCAAGGTTTAGACTGAGTTTTGTGTTTTAGCCCAGAATAGTAAATAGTGATATGGAATGAAATCGGTTTGACTAATCCCACCTGTTGATTGTTTATATTGAAGGAGAAGGAAATTCATTCATTGGCAAAACTGTTTCCCCAATGTTTATAAGGCATGGTGCATGGGGGGAGAGAGTATCCTTGTTGCTTGTGAGTTTGGAAGATTTAGGTATGAAACACTAGTGTCCTTCCTAAGTGGTGGCACTCAGGCATCTAAAATATATTGCAGGTCTTATCCTTAAGGTAGATTTCTTGCTGTATTCTTGCTTATGATTGACAAGTTGCCATATAAATTAATATCTGGATGTTAACTGTTAATCAGAACTAGCCACAATGAATTGTATGCAACTGTGTAAAGTAAAAAAATCAGCTGAAGGAAGATTACAGAACTGTAATGTTTGTTTCCATACTACTATATCTATTTATCTTCATGTGGGCTATGATATCTCTGTTCCTTGAAAGTCTAAAAAAGTGACAAGAAGAGTCATGAAATACTACATCTAACTTCCTCAGTGGTTTCCTGTTCTGAAGTGATGCAACATTTTAATATCTCACACTTTATTTGAGATGTCCAGAGATAGATGTAGTAAGGTGTTCAGCAGTGTTATTTCAGAATTTTTACAAACACATGCTATATAAGCAACTAAAACAAATTGTTTTCTAAGTACAGCGGATATTCCTTAACATATAAGAAAGTGACCTTAGGGTACAAAACAACACTCCTTACTCTTTAAAAGGAGATTCCCTAAATTATGGATCTTTCATTGCTTGGGGGACTGAAGATGTGACTCCCACTGCAAATATATATATGAACACTGTGGAAAACATTTCACCGCTAAGTGGCTTCACCAAAAGAGTTCCACTGATGGATATTTCAAAATGGAAGAGAGTTTTGGTGAGATAAGGACAAAGCCATTTTCATGGAGTACAGTATATTATGGCTGCAAAGAAGGCCAACAGCATCCAGAAGAGTATCAAGAGTGTCATAAAGTTCAGATTGTGGGAAGTAATTATCAGTTCTATTCTGCCTTAGTCAGACCTCACCTGGAGTATTATGTTCAGTTGTGTATGCTCCAGTGTAAAAAGAACATTGTTAAACTGGAGCAAATTAAAAAAAGGGTTACCAAGATGAAGAAGGGCCTGGAAATGAAGTCCTTTGAGGAGTAATAAAAAAATCCTAGGTAAGTTCAGCCTGCAGAAGAGAAGGTTGAGGAGAGTCAACCTTCCCAAGTAGACCAGACAGGAAACACAACCAGGTGAAATAATTCTAGTTTACTGTAAGGCTACATTAACAGAATCTTGTAAGTCTGAAAGCACATACTGCCACTGTTTCCTTTACAACCCAAGAAGCTACATATGGTCCCTTCTGAGTTCTTGCTTCACCACTAGCCAGCTGTGGGCTATGCCATCTCATATTTGTCTATCCCTTAGACAGCATCTCTTTGTCTCATCTTCCAAGATTTTTCCACATACATTACAATAGGGCATATGGTAGCTGTTTTCAAACACCCGAAGGACTGTCACATAGTAGAGGGATTGGATTTATTTTCACTTGCTTCAGAGAGCAATATTAAAACTAATGAGATGAAACTCCATAAATGTAGATACAGATTCTGTATTTGGAAGAACTTGACAGTAAGAGCTGTCAAGCAGTAAAATATGTTACTGCATGGAATGATTTCTTCCCCTTCACTGAAGGTTTTCAAATAGAAATTAGATAGATAATGATCAGGAATTATGTACTGAATCCTGCAGCATACAGGGGGTTGGAACTGATGATATCTTAGGTCCCAGTTCACAGTTGGTGAATGACTGTATCCAACTAGGGCTTAATAATGATGCCCCTTCAGCTTGGAGGAAAGTACTGTAAGTAGTAGAATACCATTGGTCTAGGTCCCCAGCTCTGTGTTGTTCAACATATTTTATCAATGATTGGATGAAAGAGTTGAGGAGACACTTATAAAGTTTGCAGATTATACAAAACTGGAAGAGGTAACCAAATAAAATGAAAAAGAAGATTCAAAAGAACTAATCAGGCATGAGCAGTCGGTAGAATTCAAGGAAAAACAAGTTCTGCATCTGGGTAGGAAAAATGTATGGCACGAGTATAGGACTGGGAAGACCTGTCTTGGCAGTAGTAGGTGTGAAAGGTATCTGGGTATCCTTGCTGACTACAAATTAAACATGACTCAACAGTGTAATACAGTTGTTAAAAATTCAGGTGGCAACTTGGGGTATAATAACAGAAACAGAATCAAGATGACATGAAATACTTCGTTGCAGTCAGATCCCATTTAGATCATGTGACAACCTGAAGCAAGTTCAGAAGAAGACTACCAAAATTATGAAGGGTCTGGAAATCAAGCTGTGTAAGGAATGATTAAAGAATCTGGATATGTTTAGTCTACAGAACAGATCAGTAGGCAGTGTTCAGCTGTCTGAAAAACTATTACACAGAAAGTATGGAGTTTTTTGTGTGTTTTTGTTTTTTGTTTTTGCCCCAGAAGACAGGGCTAGAACCAGCAGATTCTTAAACTATAAGAAAATAGGTTCAGGTTAGGATTCAGGAAGAACTTTCTGCATACTAGCTGCCAGCTAGTGCAACAGGTTGCTGCATAACATGATTCTCCTTCCCTATGGATCTTCAAACTGAAACTAAAGATATTAGTGGATCCCACATTGAGGAATTTGACTATATAACCTCTACGTCCCCTTTCAACTCTATGGTTCCTAGTCCCTCATGTCCTATTTGGTGGCCTATTTCCATCAAACAAAACAGCAAGTTTGAAATAGCTTGCATTAAGTCTTCAGCATTTTGGAATCATAAATATTGGGTTGTGAGTGTCTTGACTATATATTTTGTACACCGGAAATTACCTTACATTGTTACAAATAGCTGGCTTATCTTCTACACACTTTGCATGCATTGGACATTAATGCTGCATATATTTTATTCCTATATTCAGTGACCATACTGGGGTGTATCCAAGCAGAATATACTGTACATCTAGACACCAAGAAAGCAATCAATTTTATGAAAAATGATTTTTATCTTATTGAATAGTTTGATGTATCTATCACATACCAAGAATTAGTTTGGTGTAGTTAAGCCATCTAGCTAGTCCTACCTTAGGTATGATTCCAACTGGGTGACTTTGGGCCATTCATTCTCGCTCATCCCTAAGAAGCAGACATGGTAAATCATTCTGAAATCTTGCCAAGAAAACTGCAGAAACTTTGCATGGTGTCACCTGTAATCAAGATTAACTAGCCTACACAGATACAAACATACATATACACATAAAAATAAATAGCAGGATCAGATTAATATTCAGAAAACATAATTTTCACTTTTCCCAGAACACTCTGAAATTCTTCCCTTTTTCTTTCCCCCGTCCCTCTAGAAATCCTCAAAATGTATTCTATATTTCAAAACTGATTTTTTTAAAGGAGCTTGGGTTTCTCACTGAGTTACTTATCTATAGAATCTCTGAAAAATCAATATATGATTCATCTTCATGTGGGCTACTGTGTAATATAAAATATGTTCACTGCTACCAAAATGCACTTAGGGATATTGCAAAGCAATGAAATTATGTCATGGACTATTATGTAAAAATAGCAAACATGTTTATATGTTCCAATTTTTTCAATACCTTTTCAAATAACTTCCATAGTACCATAGTAAAATTATTATATATTCACACACACACACACACACACACACACCCCAGTGGTAGGTTGCTCCCAGTTCGGTCCGGTTCTTGCGAACCGGTAGTAATGGTGGCAGGAGGCTCCACCCACCCACCCTGATGTCATCACTGACGATGCACACACGCTCCCATTGCAAACCAGTACTAAAGGTAAGTGGAACCCACCACACACACACACACACACACACACCTCAACCACTACATGTTGCTTTGGAATTTGAGACTAGCAGTGAATATAGTGCAAGTTTGAT